TTGAGTACGTCTCCCGTTTCACGAATTTTCCTCTTGCCAAACATAGCATATCTGTCCTGTTCCTTCTCTGCCTCGTCTCCTTCATCCTCACTCCATTCATCATCTTCTTCAGCAATTTTCACTTGTTTTCCTTTTGCAGCTGACCTTGTTCTCTTGGCAAGAACAGGTTCAGCAGGTACTGGCTTGGAGGGCTTCTTGGCAGAAGTCCTGGTTCCCTTTGATTTGGTAGTGGGAACTTCCACAGTAGTACTCCTTTCTAGATGGACCTGTTCCATCTCTTCTTCTTCCTCTTCAACCACAGCCTCCGAGCTTTCACCTATCTTTGCTTTCCCTTTCTCTTTCCTCTTTTTCTTACTTTCTTCTAAAGCCTTCTTCAATTCTGCTTCACTTTCCCTGACCCTACTTCTAGTAGCTCTAATCCTAGGAGTAGACTTGGGTGGTGATTGTTTGCTTTTCTTGGTTGGTTTGGATGCAGCAGGGGTCTTTTGTGAGGAAGCCTTGCGTTTCTTTGGGTCATAGCTGGCCCCCACTTTCTTCAACAAGTCAGCCAAACTCTCTTCATCAGATGAACCAGGTTCATCTTGTTGTTTACTCAGATTAATCAACACCTCAGCAGCCTCACCTGAACCACTTCCCCTGACTTCGAGACTCCTTCTTCCCCACCCCCACATATGGCTAAAGGTTCCTTCTTCTTTTTCTTCCTCATTTTCCCAGAATCAGTCCCACCTACATCTCTAGCAGCCCCTATCAGAACAAATCGATTTTCCTCCCTTTCAACTACATCAGAAAAAACATAGCAAGAGTTTACCTCTCTTTGGGTTTCTTGAGTTTTGGCCTGTTCAGAAGACCCAGGTTCATCTCCTTCACTAGTGGAGATGTAATCATCAGATTCAGAGCTAGAGTTGGTCTCAGCTGCTGGGCTTGCTTTCTTTTGACTGGACTGAAGTTTTTCATTCAAAGTTTTTCTCAAAGAACCTGTAGCTACAGTTTTTCTTGCTAGCATCTTCTGGCGATGGAATCTAGGTTTTGGGTTTTCGACTGGTGGTGTGGAAGATGAGGTGTTGGGTGAAACAGGTGGTGGAGTGCCAGGATTGTCTTGGGGATTTTTCATGGTGAGGAATTTCTGAAAACCCTAAGAGAATTTTGGTGGTGTGAAGAGCTTTGGAGAGTTTCAGAGACGAGAGAGAATTATCAGGGGTTTTGTGAGGAATTGATGATTATTGAGTGGTTTGGGGTTTTTAAAGAGGGTAATTATTACTCAGAAACTGCAGCCTTTTCAGTAGTCACATAGAGGTCTAATCAATTTAGAGTTCCGGTCTCCGTAGAGATTAATTTGAATTACTAGAATTTAGGAGAAGGTGCCGTTATATTTAGACTTCTAGTTTCAATGAAAATGGTTCAATTGACCCAACAGATAGAATTGTTAGGACTTTTGGTATATCTAGGACTCTTGCTCATGATTGATAATTAAATTTTTCTAATTGTGCAAAGAATAGAAACATACCTAAACTTTCTCATGAGCATAATTTGATGAACCAGGTTCTTCAAGTGAAACTTCTCTTGATTATGCCTCAAATGTCAAAATAGAAAATTTGTAAGAGATTAGTGAATTGCATAGACACATGTCACAAGAGTATACTATTTACAGTATGAGACTGAGTAGAAATTAGTCTAATATTCACAAAAATTAAGAACTCCTAGCCAATTTTTTTTCTTTGTGCTTTCTGAACTGGACCTTTTAGGTGATCTTAATCATCCCTAACTCCAACCTGTTCCTTTCAAAATTTTCTCTACTCAGTGCCTTAGTGAAGATGTCAGCTATTTGTTTATCAGTAGCACAAAATTCTATGGAGATTAGCCCTTTTTCATAGTTGTCTCTTAAGAAGTGGTGTGTAACATCTATGTGCTTAGTCCTTTTGTGATGAACCGGGTTCTTTGTCATACTTATAGCACTAGTGTTATCACAGAATATTGGTATGCATCCCACTTCTTTACCAAAGTCTACTAATTGTTGCTTGATCCACAGTAGTTGAGCACAACAAGAAGCAGCAGCCACATACTCAGCTTCAGCAGTAGATAGGGCTACTGAATTTTGTTTCTTGGTGGCCCATGATACAAGACATGAACCAAGAAAGTGAGCCATACCTGAAGTGCTTTTTCTATCCACTAGGAAACCTGCATAGTCAGCATCAGCATAACCTACTAGATCAAAATTACTACCTTTAGGATACCATAGGCATAATTCAGTGGTCCCTTTCAGGTATCTCAGTATCCTTTTGACAGCAGTCAAGTGAGACTCTTTTGGATTAGCCTGAAAACGTGCACAAAGTCCTACACTGAAAACAATGTCAGGTCTGCTGGCAGTACGATACAAGAGTGAACCAATCATACCCCTATACAACTTTTGATCAACTGATGAACCAGGTTCATCAGCATCTAATTTAGTGGCAGTTGCAATAGGTGTATCTATTTCTTTAGAGTCCTCCATTTTAAACTTCTTGATTAGTTCCTTTGTATATTTCTGTTGATGAATCATGGTTCCATTTGAGCTTTGTTTTATCTGTAAGCCTAGGAAGAAATTTAGTTCACCCATCATACTCATTTCAAACTCACTTCCCATTAATTTAGCAAATTCCTTGCTCAACCTATTTGTAGTGGCCCCAAATATTATATCATCAACATATATTTGTACAACAAGAAGATCTTTACCTTTTTCCCTTAGGAACAAAGTGCTGTCAATTTTACCTCTTTTGTACCCATGCTCCAGAAGGAATTTTGACAATCTTTCATACCAAGCTCTTGGGGCCTGCTTGAGACCATAGAGAGCTTTATCTAGCTTGTATACATGATCAGGACATTCTTTACTTTCGAATCCTGGAGGTTGTCTCACAAACACTTCTTCTTTGAGATAGCCATTTAGGAAGGCACTTTTGACATCCATTTGATGAAGAGTGAATTCCATATGTGCTGCAAAGGCTATGAGGAGTCTAATTGCTTCAAGTCTAGCCACTGGAGCAAAAGTCTCATCATAATCAATGCCTTCCTCTTGACTATAGCCTTGAACCACCAACCT